TAAATCAGAAATAGCATATGGATCTCAAATTCATTCCAGTTCTGTTTTGTTAATAGTCCTTGTCTTAAAACTGTGTTGAAAAAGATTTAAAGACCATACCAGGGTACAGGGGAAGTGTGCCATAATTGATTAGTGACATCTGTCTTGGGCATGTAGGAGAAACCTTTATCTACCTGCCAAGTATTTCTGATCCCTGTATTAGTTCTAGGCAGGTTTTGCTTTGTGTTCAGATTCTGAGGGGCTATCTGTTACATGCAGAAGATCAAAAGTTCTTGGTCTATATTCTCAGCTCCCCAAGAAATACCCCTGGGGAACACCACTGTCTACCTACTCTATCACTATCTCTGGTCCCAAGGCCAGGGAGTTGGTCCTGACTTCTTAATGGTCTCTGGCTCAAGTCTTGGGAGTGATGCTTCATTCAGATATTCTAATCCTTGCTTGACAATTGTCTTTGACTGTGGATTAGTATCTTTCTGATCTCCTGGTTTCTTGATTTCTGGACCTCCCCTTTGCTTGAAATAAGAGTTAATTTATTCCCAAAGTTTCTGAAATTAAGAATCAAGTAAATATTTACAGGATGTCTTCTATAAAAGGGAAGAAAGTAGTGAGGCTTTTAAAAAGCATGGTTGGCATTCATTGGCATTTTTCCATAAAGCTTGAAAAGTGAGAATATAAATTAGTTCAACCATTATGGAAGACAGTATGAGGATGCCTCAAGGATTTAGAAACAGAAATACTATTTGACCCAGCAATCCCATTACTGGGTAAATACAAAAGGATTTGAAATCCTTCTATTATAAAGACACATGCATACTTATGTTTATTATGACATGGTTCACCATAGCAGACTTGAAAACAACCCAAATGTCCATCAGTGATAGACTGGATAAAGAAAATGTGGCACATCTACATTATGGAATACAATACAGCCATAAAAAAGGATGAGTTCATGTCCTTTGCAGGACATGGATGAAACTGGTATGACACAAGAACAGAAAACCTAACACCACATGTTCTTACTCATAAGTGAATATTGAACAATGAGAACACATGGACACAGGGAGGGGAACATCACACACTTGTTGAGGGATGGGGGGCTAGGCGAGGAATAGCAGGGGGCAAGGGGATTGGAGAGGGATCACATTAGGAGAAATATCTAATGTAGATGACAGGGTGATGGATGCAAACCACCATGGCATGTGTATACCTATGTTAGAAACCTGCATGTTCTGCACATGTACCCCAGGACTTAAAGTATAATAAATTTAAAATTAAAATTAAAAAATGACAAATGTTTAAGGTGAAGATAAGGTAATTATCCCAATTTGATAATTATATATCTATATGCATGAAAACATTGCATTGTACCCTATAAATATATACAATTATTACATGTCAATTACCACTTTAAAAATAAAATAATTATTCCTGAACAATAAAAAAAGAAAAATGAATAGTCCTATGCCCCATTCTAGACCTGTCAACCAGTAGGGGATTACAGGGTTGGGGAGATATGCAATATTTGTTAAAAAATTCCTCAGGGGATGATCATGAGCACAATTTGAAGAACCACTGAGCTAAGAACCCTTAACTGGCTGAAAGGTAGCCAATAATTGCCCCAGTTTGGTCATTTAGTGACTGAATGTTCCAGTGGAAATCAAATTAAGTTTTTAAGTTTTGCATTGTACCCTGGTTCTGTTATAATATGCACAGAACAGTGGCCTGTGTGTGCCATTTTAGAGGACATGATTCTTCAAGCCACTATTCCTTTTTAGCAATTTTCTCTGCCCTTCAATTACCTCAATCTTTTTGTTTTTCCTCTTCTCACCATCCTCCTATCTAAACAAACACACTTATACACAAAGAAAGACCTCTGAGAACCTCTGATCCCATTCATTATGTATCAAGACCTATTTTCACTTTGTAGAATTACATTGCAAAAGCAATGTCTCCCTGCCTGTGTATAAGGATATGTTAACCCACCTAAAAAGCTCATCTGGCAACAACTAGCTAGAAAGCTCTAGATGAACATATCATCTATAGACTTTTTGAGATTTTAACAGGGTAGCCTGTATTTTCCCTACCTAAAGCATATTTCTTTTTTTAGATGTGCAACTCCCTACATAGATACAACCAGAAGGCAAGCTTTTGCTTTTTACAGAAAGCATTCTAGTCTTCAACAAAATAATGGGATGTTATCACATCACACTGGGCCAGCCAGCTTCTACTGTGCTATTGATGTACCGGTTTTAGTGTGTTCTTACACCATTACAGTCACCTAAATATAATTCCTGAAGCAGGAATCATTCTCTTGTGGTTAAAGTTCACCATTTCCATCCCTGGCCATGAGGTGAGATGCTCATTCTAGAAGTCATGGGTTTAACAGTGATAAAACAAGATAGCAGTGGTCTCCTGTATCCTCCTTAACAAAAGCAAAAATAAACTTCATGGGGTGAATAATTCACAAAAAAAATAAGAAAAAGAACACTGCTTGCTCTTTATGTTGTGCTAATAAATTTGACAGAAATTTTTACAGATATTCCTAGCATAATCAATATAAATTCAATTTCTTGCAACAGTAAATTGTTATTATTGAACTCACTGCCTAATCTTATTTTTTCTGTTATAATTCTTTGATTTAAAACACTTAAACTGATCTAAACAAAAATGAGAATGTTGTGATTCTGTAGGTTGCTGGCTTGGCAAAAATCCCTTTTGCTATGATTTCCTTGTTACATTTGATAATTTGCCACATTCCAAAATTTAAATGCCATGGTTTCATGTAAATGCGCTGGTATTTCCTCATTGGTTGTTCATACTTCTCTAGCCATATGCCTATGATAAGTTCATGTGCATTTTTATATAACTTACTGTTCCCATTTGGCAATTCTATACCTTTAATCGTGTCAATCAGCCACATAAAACTTCATAACCCATCGAGAATACACAAAGAAAAATACGTTCCTTCTAAAACTCCGGGATAAAAAGCACATTGCTCGAAGACAGCTTAAATTTCCCCACACTCCAATTCTACAAACACAGAGTACTCTAAAACAACTAGAATTCAACTCCTGATACCTTGTTTCATTTTTGGGTTTTTAAATAAATGTGTAAATTATGCCTGTGACCTTATTGAAAGATCCATAATCATGACTAGAAATGAAAAATGAAATGGGAGAGACATATATTGTCAAATAGGCATTATAATCAGACTCATCTATAAAACTGCTATAATTATTTTTCCTTCTTATGTTCTATAAGAATAAACTTACAGGAAAGGTTTTAATGTCTTTAACTTGTTACATGAGGTGTTGTTTTAATAACAAAATAATTATTATCTCCATAGGCTTTTATGATACTCATCATTCCCTATAAAAATTTGAATACTTATCAACTTACCAGCGCATATATATATATATATATATATAAACATATATATGTAAATATATATAAATATATATATATATTCTGCTCTCTATTGTATTTTACTACTATAACTCGTATTTTACTATTTCTGTGGCTCAGGAATAGATAGAATAAAATGATATTCAAGTTGGTTTCACAGACAGTAAACATGCATTATGAAATTGAAACATACTATGCTTATTGAGCATATATTTTAGAAGAACTTTCTCTAAAATTTTATGAATAAAACCATAATCTGGAATCATTCACTGTCCTTGATTTTAGAATTCTGTATGGTTTCATGAAAATTTACATTTTAAAAACATGGTTCAAAATTATAGCCTCTGAATTATACAACTTAAGTAAAATATATATTTTCAGCTGGGAAATTAGTAAAATGCCATTAATCCTTTGCATGATTACATGGAGAACAGAGGTAACAAAAACTAGATTAATCTAATTTCTGGATACACTGACTATTGCAAATTTTAGACAGTCTAAGTCAATCCTTGTTTTCCCATTTAAGTCCCTGAATATTTCAGAGATTTGTCCAAAGTAACATGGAACCAGGCTAGACCCTCAATGCCCTAACATCTAGTCAAGCTATCCCTAGACCCTCTTGTGCAGAATGTATCAGTTTGAACTCTAAGTCACAGGTGTACCAACCTGCCACAGCTGCCTACATCCAGTGAAATAAACCATATCTTATCAGTATCAACATATTAGAGTTGATATTACACAATGTTACAGCCATGTAGGTGAGTATAGGAGTCAGATGTATAAGAATCATGTCTAGAATCAATGCCATAGGGCTGTCTAAATCAAAGATTCACAAGACTTATAACTACCCTGAAGGTGCATGTGCACTAGCAAATATGTTGGCCACAGAATTTCACAGCTTGATTGACACTCCCTCTACACCAAATACTGCCTCTTCCTTTTTTAGAAAGTTGCACCTCTGATCTCACTATGAATTGCTGGACATGATTAATGTCTATCTAGTTGTAGGGAGGCTATGGTGGAATGCTAACCAAATCTTTCCTGTATTCACCCGTGTGGGTATATATTGTGCATATACAACTGGGCAACTCTACTTCATTGTATAGCTTGAGTACTAGATCCAATGGACAGTGATAGCCTGGGTAGCCACCAGGAAGAGAGAGCGAGCATTTACACTGGCGATAGTAATGACTATCACACATTCCCACCTGGAGGAGAAGGTACTGTGCTCCTCCCTTCCCAACCCCTAAAAATATGTGTGTAAGTAGAGAAAGTGGGGAATGAATTATTATGAAGAGTTGTTTTAGGTAGATTAGATAATTTTATACTGGATAATCTCTCATTACATTTAGTAATTCTATAATAAATGTTAATTTGAAAAGGCTACATCTGATTGGTTTCCAGTGGAATGAATGTGGCACAGTTTTAGATTCTTGTAGCACTGAAGCCTACTAAGCCTTGAGTTAGTTCTCTACTTTTGGAAATACCATTCTGCATATACAAAACTTCTTAATTTATGCAATCAATTTAGTTTCAGCACTTACAAAAATAAACACATTTTTGAAAAACATGTTATGTTGTGCATTTTCACTTACCTTTTCCGCTGATTGAGCAGTGCCAAAAAAAATTGGAATGAAGGCAAGCCATACTATACACGTCGTGTACATAGTGAATCCAATGGGCTTGGCTTCATTAAAATTCTCTGGTACACCCCGAGTCTTGATGGCATACACAGTACATGTGACCATGAGAAGAATGCTATATCCCAAGGAGCAAATGATTTGGAGATCTGTAATGTCACACTTGAGAACTCCTCTGGCCTGCTCAGGGTTCATTGTTTTATGTTCATCATAGTCTATGATGATATTGGGTGGATCAACACCAAACCAAATGAAAACCCCTAGAAGCTGAACTGATATTAAACTGGAAGTGATTGCCAGTTGCGATGTTGGGCTTATGAGTCTGGGAGCTGTCACTGATTTCTTGCCCTGCTCAAATATGCGGTAAATCCGATTTGTTTTCGTCAAAAGGGCTGCATAACTGATGCACATACCCAAGCCCAAGAAAACACGCCGGAATGAACACACTGCCACGTCAGGTTTGGCAATCATCAGGAAAGTGATGATGTAGCAAAGAAAGATGCCGGTCAAAAGAACATAGCTGAGTTCCCGCCCAGATGCCCGGACAATGGGCGTGTCATTGTAGCGGATGAAAGTGACCATGACAAAGATGGTGGCAATGATCCCCAACATTGCCAAGAAGACAGGAATCACAGCCCAGGGAGAGTGCCACTCCAGTTTGATGATGGGAATATCCTGGCAACCGGTTCGATTTTCATTGGGCCTCTGGTCATAGGGGCAGTGTTGGCATGTCATCTCATCAAACTGGTACTGGTAACCATCACAAGGCTCACAGGTCCAACAGCAAGGAGTTCCTTTCTGTGTCTTCTTTCTCTGTCCAGGCTTACATGGTAGTGTGCACACTGACGGGGGTATCTCTCGGACTCCTTTACCCCACTGCATGTCTTCTATCTGTAACACAAGAAATAAGAAGGTGAATCAGGCAGATTCTTCAAGAGAATAGAAAAAGAACACCAGCAAGAAATGGTACTCATGGCAAGTAATATTTGAGGCTTGACAAGGTTGAATAGCTTACCTCCAGCTTGCAAGAGTTACAAGCATGATTTGAGCCCATACCAGATGATTCCAGCATCCTCACTCTTCAGCAATAGAGTGTTTTCAACATGCCAGGTCTTAAGAATTCCCTGAGACAATACAATTTCCCCCTTTCCATTCCTGACTTTATAAATATGAATATCCTGAAAACGAATCTTAGGGGCTGTATTTATAACAAGTGCCCAAATGATTCTTGTGAGCAGATAACTTGAAATGCACTGGCATGCACTCTGCTGTCTTTACCTGGATAATAAGTGTAAACGTCCCAAATCCAGTAAGAAACAAAAACAAAAACACTTTGGCAGTATGAAAAACTACACTCATCTATTTTGTTAGGTGTTTTATTTTAAAAATGTTCTAAAATTATTTTGGATAATACTACAGTACTGGCCACCTTCCCTAAAATTCTGTAAGCATTACCATTATTTTCACTGAGAACTTTTACAGCAATGTGAATCTATTATCAAAGGGGAGAAGTTGGGCTTACTGTTGAAGGCTTTAATTGTATTAGTCTATTTCCTCCGAATTTGGGAAGTATTTGATAAGAAAATAATATGGTCTGGAAACCTTTCAAGGTTGGTCAGTCCCTATTTGCAGATGAAATTTAGACTATCCTAGAGGAGAATGTATTTGCTTAATTGAAACATTGGTTTTCTGGAGGGGAACATAACCAGCAGTGTTCTGAGAAATAATGGAATTAGAAACAACGGGAAACCTTACTATTGGGCGGAAATCTCATTAGAGTAGGCATCTCTCCTTTTTGTCAGCACAGCATCTGCTCTTTCTCTTCCCTGGTATCAGTTCCTCAGATTTCTTTTCTATATGCTTTCTGTGGGGTTAAATTTACGCTGAAACTCTTGGGTTGTGCACATGACCCAGGTCTAACCAATTAGTATATTGTAGTGATTCTCAAAATTGAGAGTGCATCAGAATCATATGGACTTGTTACAATAGTTTGCCAGATTTTCTGATTCATTAGATCTGGGATGTGGCCTGAGAATATGCATTTCTAACAAGATCCCAGGCAATGATGCTGAGGATTGTTCAGGGATCACATTTGTCAACCACTGATACATTCCAACCTCCTAGCCACAGAGATTGGGTCAGGGATGGTATCATTATGTCCCAGATCATAGAATTTAATTTCATGACTTCTGAGATCACACAGGATAAAAATCTTTGTTTTCACTGGACTGAGAGTTTCCAGGATATAAGGTGGCTAGTGCTGATGGCTAAAAGAAGTAGTTTATTACAGAAAGAAGCCAATGCAGAGTGAAAAGACAAAGATCACCAGTGAGCTTGTTTGAGCTCCTGGATATAGCTATGTCTGAATCAAGAATTTTCCTAGACCATGGCATTATGTAAGCCAGTAAATTTATCTGTACTAAAATACTTTGAACTTTATTTGTATTACTTGAAACCAAGAGTCCTGAGCAATATATTCATGAAATAGTTTTAGTATCCACAAGTTACAAAAGATGTACTGTCTGCAAGTTATTATACAGAATAATTTCAATTAACAATTATGGCTGATTTTTCTCATACCTAGTTAATTTAATTTTTAATACAATTGAACTAAACAATGGATTAGAAAGCTACTGGAAAGTCTCAGACATTTTTAAAGTACATAATGTTAAGAGAAAAAGGGGAAAGAAAAATAATACATTGCATATTGCAATTTCAGATTTTTGTCAATATGCTGAATGAAATGCATAACAGAGAGTGATTCCTCCATCAATACTTGAATGAGGACTATATTCAAATTCTTAATTGAATATAGCTAACTTGGAATAATAAATGGCTCAGAAGTTAAACTTGGTAAAATAGCATAACCTTCTAATGGTTCAATTTAAACTTTAACCAGAGAACCAAAAATGTTTCAGATGACTCCAGTGTCAACTTATTTGCCTAAGCACAAAACCCAAGTCAGCACCAAGAAATCACTAACTATAAAGCACAATCTTTTCTTTCTCAGTATCATTTTTGAGACAATAAGTCACTGGAAGCCATCTCAAAGTCATAAAATTAGGTAAACAACTTATAAGAGAGAAAGATAGGCATTAATTTTACAAATGTCGAATTCCAAGAGTTGGAACCTTAAAAAATTGATGGTATTAATACAAGTGTTTTCAAACATCAGAACAAAAGGTCCTACTCATGGCTACCAGGAAAGATTAACAATAACAACAACAAAGATAAATACACTTTATTAGCTAAACTTGAGATTACTTGATTTCAACACTAGTGGCTACTAATGTGCCACATAATTAACTTTATCTATAGTAATAAATGTAGGGCCCATACAAATATATAAACAAATTATCATTAAATGTAATACTTTACAGTCAGTTTCGAATGCTGCCAACTCACTATTTTTCCCTCTTGGAATAAAATAAAATATCTCGCAAAGCGGCACAGCATTTTTTTTTTTTTCTCAACATATCCAAATATACACAAGAGCTATAACCACAAACATCACATTGACTGATCATTTAATTTGTTTTCAATTTTTGTTTAGAGCCGATTTCAACTCAATTTAATTGTGTATGTTAAACCAACAAAGTTTCCTCTTGCTCCAGGTGGACACAACTCCAATTTACTCACTTTGCCAACAAAAATCATTATTGAAAATATAATCTCTGTCCAATGAAGGTACTGACTAACCTTTAAAAGCTCCAGTAAATGACAATTTTGTTAATGTGATGTATATCATTTATATATATCTCTACCCATCCACACAGACATAGTGCCTTGTTTCCTAAGAAACAATAAGCTGCAAATGCCCATGGGCATCTCTTTTAAAGGAGGATAATTATTTAGCGCTCTGAAAAATCAAGTCTAATATCAATTTACTTTGCAAGAAGGCTAACAGGAATGTAACGTTCATGTTTGTCCTGAACTCTGCAAAAAAAATTGTGTTTTGGTTAGCTGGAAAGCCAGATGTAAGGTGCAGAAAGATTAAGAAAGAGACTGGCATGTTTATCGTCTTCCTCATAAGAAAATGCAAGTTTACATTCCTCCATAAGTATGCATTTTCCTAGTACGTCCAAAGTTTATGGTTTTTTGGTATCTGGTCTGCTGAATAGGTGGCTCCTGGGGAAGAGCTATTGAGATCCTAGCTTTTTGCAAGAGAACAGAACTTTGCATCTTAATCTCCTACCAAAAGCTGACATTCTACATGGCAAACAGATTGCATAAATAGGTGAATCAATAGTTTAGGAAAAGAGCAAATTATGCAGTTCTGGTCAAAGAAAGCAAGAATAAGCTTGTGGTAGAGTCCCAGGGAGGTGTTTTTCATTCTTAAACAAGAGGAGCAAAGAACGAATATGCTATTGTTAACTTAAAAACAGAAACTCAGACAACAGACAGGCTGTCTAGAACAAAATATTTCATTTGAGAAGACCAAAGGGTTGTAACCCAGGGTGTGCTGCATACCCATGGAAAATTGAGGAAAGAAGCCCACACAAATCGCTTTGAGAGAAAGCTCACTGGTCTCAGAAACTCACTGCAGGAGTTGTCATTAGTTCATTGGGGGAGATAGTCATTGGTAGACTATGGTCCTGATCTGAGGTTCTTATCTGAAATACTACAGGCCAGAGAAAATTCCTGTGAGAAGCTCTCCTTGCTTTTTCCAAGCTATGAGCAAGACATTCAAGGTTTTCAGGAATGCAAGTATGACAGTTTCTTTTTTATGGTCCTCACTAACTCTATTTTGGTTAGGGTTTTGACATGTGGCTCTATTTTGTACTTACTTCCATACTGCCTTCAGCCTTTGAACTTTGATTTGTGCAAACATGATGCCTGGAGCTATAGTAGCCAATTTGCAACAAGAAAAACACAAGCCTAAGAGACAAAACTCATATTGCTGAGGATGGCATAAATATAAAGAAGTCAGAAAGACAGATAAAAAGAATTTACATCTTTGAAAGAAAAATTATGTCACCAAATAAAGCAACACTAATACAACTGTTTCCCAAAATTTTGAACATGAAATGATAAACTGTCTTTAATGGCTAATCAATTCTCCATGGGCAGTCTACCAATTGCAGTCAAGCATTCTATCAAATGCATTTTCTCTTATTTCTGAATTTGGTACTTGCAAACCTTCTGACAGGGTCAGAAAAATTCACCAATAATATTAAGTTCTTAGCTGGATAGTAGGCAACTCTAGAAAGAAATGGAAATTTAGAATCATATGTAATTAGAAACACCGGTCTTTGTCTCCTGAGAATGCTCAGAAAAATGTGTGCTAAAGTACTGAATTTAGAAAATCAGTTTTGACTCCATTGCTTCAGACTCACACAACAACAGAGAAAAAGCACCACCAGCTAAAGTTTTCTAGCACACATGTTGGGGGAAAAAAATGGTGTCTGGCTCTAGTAGAGAGACAAAGCTACTCCACAGGGAATGTGCAGACCTTATAATCACTGGAATTTTAAAAAGAAAGTAAATTAGTTGCTGTCTTACTGCCAAACACCAAAGAAATGGCATTGTTATAAACACTATTAGTGCATCCATTTTTATGGAGAAGAGATCTGTTCCTTTCCCCCACAAAGACAAACTCTAAAAGAAAACTTTGTCACTTCAGGGATATTTTTCTTGGTGAAATTCCATTTGCATATTTCCAAAGCTTACTCCATAGACCAACCTGGCTGATGCTTTTATTACATAATCCTCTGCAATATTATTTTTACTTGTTAGAACCTTGATAGAATGAGCTAATTTTAAAAAAGAAGTTTCTTATTAAAATGCCATTTGTTCATTAAGATACATTCGTCCTGTCTAATTTGAAGGAAAAAAAGCTGTTTAAGAAAAAATGTATAGGAATGTTAAATTTTCAATGCTAGGAAAGAGTC